ACTCTACTTCCAGTTGAAAGCAATTATTTTTTGCTTTCAGAAAGAAGAACAAAACATCCACTATAAAATCCTCAATCGCAGGAGGCATGGAGTTATAGACCTAAATCAATAACTGCAGTAACTGTAATGTTAAGCTAAAAGGGTGAATGATACATTTATTTATCAATCAACATGGGACATCTATATGATCTTTTGAGAGTAATGGCCAGTCTCGCAGAACAAAGAATTGAAACAGAAAATAACAAATCTTGTATGATCTTTTAAGTCTCAATATGATCAACAATTATGTATTCAGCAAAGCACCATGCCTTTTTGTAAAAAGTGAATATATTTAATTGTTTAGCATTCACACAAATGTTAATGCTCGTTATACTTAAGCCTCTATCCATTTCACAACTTTATTTGTAAGTTATATTGGTCGCCAATTCTATTTTTGGACTTATTCCACTCAATTGTAATGCTCCCAATAGCATAGGCACTAAATGTTCTCATACAATAGTATGCTGACATCTTGACTGCAAAATTGTCAACATGCAAAACCGTTTTAACTTCCAAAACCGTCAGGTAGGGAACTCTTCAATATTTCTTGACACTGAATCCCTCCTTCCCCAATACAGAAATTTTAGGCACAGATTCCCATATTTATGTTTACATCACCATCATAAATCAATCAACTACAAAAAATCTATATTAAGCTGTGGTAACTGCCAAAAAAAAAAGGAAAAGAAAAAGAAAACAGTAAGAAAAACTCAGCAATGCATCACTACATTGAAACCTAAAAACGAAACGGTGTCAGCTAAAAAAGACTTTCGAAGGCCCAATTCTATTCTGCTCAATGCAATTCTGATTTTAATCACAAAAACTCCAGGATTCAAGAAAAAAATCTCCAAAAGAAGAACAACAATCCAATGCCTAAATAGGTAAAATAGAAGTAAATCTATACCCACTCCTAAAAGGAAAAATAGAAGAAAACCTAAAACCACTTGCTACCAGAATCCAGTGTACAAAGGACAGAAGGTTTCATCAAAATACATACAAAAAATAAAGATAAAAAAAAAATTCAATCTTTCACCTCTTTTTGCTTCAATAATTTGGCTTTGGAAGACCGATTAATCGGCGTCGGGATTTCGACCACATCCGCTTCTTGACACCCGCTAGAACTCCCACCCGGAAATACCCTTTTCCTGCACCCATAAAAAATCCACCACATATAAACGCTTCATAAAAATACCTATAGAAAATCACATACCGAAAAAAAATACTACTTGGAATTCTGGGGGATGTATCGAGAAACAGGCGTAGGGGACTCCATGAAATCAGCTCGAGCCGGCTTCGTAATAAAGAAATCAAAAACAAAATTAGGGTTCGGTTTGGTCAATTAACGCCTTTTTCTTCTCAGCGACGACTCATCTTTTGCCTTGGAAAATTGAAATCGATAACTACACCTTTACAGGTTTCCGATTCCTCCTCCAATTATATATAGATACAGATACGAAACGATAAATACAGAAATTTGCTTGCGAAACTTTCTACAAAATTTTAGAGAGATAAATCGTGCGAGTAGATATTCTTCACTATATCTTTTTGCCCTTGCCTTTTTGAGTTCGTGCCCAGTTAAGTACTCCTATATAGCTCGGATCGGCGTTCGGAGGTTGCAACGCCAATGCGTTTAATGTTAAGCCCTTTCAATTTCTGTTATTTATTATTGTGCCATTGGTAAAGGATCCTTGCGGTGTGGGTCCCGTTTCTGCATGTAGGCCACGTCTGAGGAAACGGATAAACATTTTTGTGACTTTTTTAAAAAGAAAAAAAAATGAAAAGGAAGGGCCCGCCAACATCTTATGTTGACTCGATAGCTTGGAGCCCCCAATACTCTAATTTTAGCATTCTCACATACATCCTCCCCTACATGACAAGTTCAAAAATGCCAGAGTTAGTGTGCTCATTAATCCTGCAACGAAAACATGGAACATGAATCTCGTCTCGAATATTTTTCATGAGTCTGAAGCGAACTTGATTAGTAAGATCCATATCAGTTTATGTGATCACCCGGACAAACTTATTTGGAGAGGCACGAAGGATGGTAAATTTACAGTTAAAAGTGCTTATCATTTCATCAATCAGGTAAAGCAAGATTCCTTGGGCCAATGTTCTTCCCATTATCGTCAGAATGAGGTTTGGAGGAAATTGTGGAGTATTAATGCCTCTAATTCTAGGAAAATGTTTTTATGGCGTGCGACTCATGAAACGTTACCTACAAATCTTAATCTTTATAGAAGGAAGAACATGGAGTCTCCTTANTCTAATTCTCGGAAAATGTTTTTATGGCGTGCGACTCATAACTCGTTACCTACAAATCTTAATCTTTATAGAAGGAAGATCATGGAGTCTCCTTTATGCCCGGTCTGCCAACAAGAAGAAGAATCTATTTTACATGCTTTGTGGACATGTATTTCGGCCCAAGATGTTTGGGGCTCCAGCTCACGGAAACTACAGAAAACATCTTTCTAGCCAACTCACTTCAAAGAACTGGTATGCCACTTACTTCTTGTGTTGTCAGAGGAAGATATGGAGCTTTTTACATCCACAATCTATTTAATCTGGAAGAGGTGCAATTCCTATGTTTTTTAGAGTAATTTTGAAGGTCCAGCATCCATATTAAAGTCGGCTCGTCAGTCCATACTGGAGTTCCGAGAGCTGATCTCACAGTCGGTTTAGGTTTTTACCTGGGCTTCTCATTGTTGACATGAAGAGTGTGCTACGATTCTCTCTTGTTTGATCAGTTAGTCTTTTTTCATTTTTTAGTAAAGGATGCACTTAAACTCTTCGTGGAAAGAATAGTGTTGGAGGAATCTCCTT